TTCCACTTTTACGAGCTTGCGAGGCAGTAGAACGGTGGGTGTTGCGGGGCATATTGGCAGATTTGATGATAAAGGTGCAGATTTGATGATAAAGGTGCGTATTTGAATGGATTGGATGATATTTGAATGATTTTAGAGATACGTGGATATTTTGGTTATTTCTGCGGTGTTTTGCTACTATTTTTCAGGGGGTGGCAGAAAATTCTGTTTTCGCAAGCTTTACGTCCGCCACAATACGTCCGCCACAATAGACGAGGAGCGTTTGGTCCCGACAAACAGTATGCGTGCCTGTACCGCTGTGGTGACTGAGATATCTTTCAACCATGCACCAAACCGTTACAGAGCAGAGATTGAATTTATTTCTTTGGCAGAGTGGGAGGAGGAATTAAAATTAATTTTTGGTGATATCGAACTTGGGAATCAACAGAAGGGGGATAATTCCGACTCTGCGATTGCTCGAGCAAAAACGACTGCGGTATACCCGGACACCCCAGACATTCTAAAATCGTCGATCAAAGAGCTTTAGTACATGAAAATGTGTCAAATGTTCTAGGGAAAACGATTGAATTCACCGAAGATGATCCGATTGTTTTCTACGCCCAACTTCAGAAATATGTTGACAGCAAAACCAAGACCCGAGGCAAAGGCATGAAGGGAAAGAGCAAAACTGGTGGTCAAAAAGGTTGTAATGGAGGTTTGCGGAACGCGAAGGAAAGCGTGGGAACAAGCATGGAGTTTTGGCCTTTGATACGCATCGTTCGCTTGTATGTCAAGGCGCCTGTTCTTGCTACTGGAGCTGCCATTGTCGACTTGCCTGGCATGCAGGATGCCAATGCTGCGAGAGCTGCAGTTGCGTCTCGATACATTGAACAATGCTCCTCTCTTTGGATAGTGGCTCCCATAACGCGAGCAGTGGATGATAAAACAGCGAAGACCCTTCTCTCAAATAATTTCCAAAGACAAATCCAAATGGACGGCACCCTTAGTGCAGTTACATTCATATGTTCCAAAACTGATGATATTAATTTATCAGAAATGGTTCTTGATTTTGAGGATATAGTCGATGAGCCACTTTCGACTCTGGAAACTCCAGAAATTTCCACTACACTCCTTCAGGAGAACCTCGAAGCCTTGAAAGATGAGCGCAACGAAATTGTTATGTCAATGGATGATATTTGTGAAGAAATGGCTGCTATGGGATGCAGTTTCAGTCCGTTGAAAGGCAATGATGGCTCTCCAAAAAGAAATAGACCATCCGACTATTACCCGGACTTCATACGGCATGGGGAAAACGCCACCAACGAATGTGGCCCAAACGACAACAACATGGAAATAAATGACGACCAGCCAGCAGATTTTGTAGAAAAGAGATGGTGTGATGCTTCAAATAAACGAAAACTCCTGTCCCATCGAAAAAAACTGATTGACTCGGAGATAAAGCAGGTGATCGAGCTATTGAATAATGCTCGGGAAAACGAGAAAAGAAAACAAAATAAACTAGCTCTAAGGTGTATTATAGAGAGAAACCAAGCCGTGAAGGCCCAAATTCGGCAGGACTTTACTGATGGGGTTCGGCAATTGGACGAGGCAAATGCGGAGGGGGAGAGTTTTGACCCGAGTGTTGATTTCAGGGATTACGATCAGGTTGCCAGAGCACTTCCGGTCTTTTGTGTGTCCTCCAAAGCATATCAAAAATTGAAAGGGAGACTCCGTCGCGACCATGCCGTCAAAGCATTCTGTAATACCGAGGAAACTGAGATACCAGCTCTCCAAGCTCATTGTCTGAGTTTGACCATCGCTCAACGCAAATCTGGCTGCCAATCGTTCCTAAATGGGCTACAACAGCTCGTGAACTCTTTGGATCTGTTATGTTCCATCAGTGGTTCTTCAGAGTCCCTATGCGAGGAGCGCAAAGAAAATAACCGTGTTTTCCTGCAAAGTAGATTGGATGCTCTGCAACTGGTATGCTCTAAATCAAGATCAATTGATGTTTATGTTTCGTCGCCTCTATCTGCTCACTCGTATCCAGGACCTGGAGAATCTAACTGGAGAACTTTTGGCTGAAATCACCAGCGCCATCAAGAGTAACATTTTCGATAAATTTGGTGTGTCGTCCTATCCCCCTGCCTTCTAGAGAGGTTATTACAAGAAAGTTGTGCTGATATTTCGCAGGTTTCGCTTCATCACAGGCTTGCAATGAGGTTGGAAACACTCTTGAGGAATGGCACCGTTCACGCAAAATCTCTCCAGAAGGTCTCGCCTGGAACACTTACAAAGCGATTTGCAGACGCCAAGGGGTTTACAAACATCATGTGAGTTTCGATCAATCAACGTTATTCCTTACCTTTCTTTTCTTTTTCTGTTTTGGATAGGGAATTCCTAATATTGTAATAGGACTGGAATAGTAAGCTGTAAGGTTTGATGGCTCCTATAGGAGAAATCTGTGATGTCTGACAACTTTTAGGATCCAACCTATGATGCCAATTCTTGCGGCTAGTTGGGAACGGTAAGAAACATCTCCGTTGTTTTTGCAAAACATGCTAAATATCGTGTAGTTCCTTCTCGCGTCTAATCCCGAAAATGCTATCCCGATTTGCCGAAACTTCGTACGGCTATGTAAAAGGATTGAATGAGAGTCTTGCGCCTCGTCTCTCTGCTAGGACAGCTAATCCTAACATAACACTGAAGCTGAAGTCTCAGCTTGCAACCTACCAGGCTTCTTTCAAGGAGATATCCTCCGCGAGTGATGCAATGTTGAATCAAAGCCATAAGGCAGCAAATCGTGCATTCGTTCCGATAATTGCAGCCGAGTTGAAGGAAGCCTATGAGGACTGTGGGTCTGCAAGTGGTAAGTAACCAGCCAGCTTGTAATCGTTTCTAATGCCAACAGAATCTGTAGGACAGGGAGTTTACATACGCATGAAAAACATCATGACTGAGCATGTGCAAAAGGGTCGCCACGAAATGTTCCGCAAAAGCACAGAACACGTCCAGTCCGAGCTGGAAGGTACTCTCCAAGCCATTAGAAACTTCCTTGCTCTGAAGATCGAAATGCTCTTCCAGACGATTCGTCTGGATTACGAAAATGCATTTGAGAAGTCGCAGACTTCTGAGGAGAAGGCGCTGAACAAAGAACTCAAAAAGCTTCTCCAAAGGAATACGATTTTTAACGGCACAACAGCATCCACTTCAACATCCGGCGATGTACAGTGCCAACCATTTAATTGGATCAAGAATGAAGTGAATGCGGATTTCGCATGAACATATAATTTCTTAAATACATAGGCCTGGCCTTTTTTCCCTTTTCTCTTTGGTTAATATCATACTTTATCTCCACCCAGGATTGTCAATTCACGTTTTTGCATCAGAGGAAATCAGTATTACTATTTTGTCACTCAACTCGTGGGACGCATGCCGATTATTACCAATCTTCCAAGTTCGTGCCATAATGCGTCTCTGTATCCTGCTGAATGCGTTGCCTTCATACAGCCTCCCCCCGGTTTTCGCCATACAGGGCATTTTAGATCCGGCCTTCGAGCAGGGTGGAAGTCACCATGCACTATGCGGACAATTTCACGAGAATTTTCACAATAGGCCCTTGATTTTAGTCCCCACAACCGTCATACTTGACTGTGCAGTACACTATGCCAATTCTTTTTTCTGGGTGTGCAACTTTTCCTAGTTGGAAATATTGTTCGTGGAATAGCTCGCAATTCCAGTTTGACTTTCCATCTTACCATTTGAGAAAATACTAGCTCAGCGAATCTGTCTTATGATTCTAAATTTAAGAATTGAATACCCCATTGTGCTAGACACAATTTTTTGCAGGGTGACCGACCTCTTTTCTTCCATCTTTTCTTCTTCGGCCATTAAACCTTGACTCTATGGGTCGGTATTTCCACGTTCTTTGGCAATCTTAGGATTATTTATTAAGCAATTTCATCCTCTTTAATCTGTGGTTGAAAGGGCTCTAAGGGCTCTCACTTGTTATCGCACAATCAGCCCAACAAGCATTGACGGAGTGCGATGCAACCACTGCAGTCAAATGAACATGTTTATACAGTAAGTCATGTTGCTTCTACCCTGCCTGGTAAGAGAAAGCACCAAAAAAATTCCATAATGATATGGAAGGAATTCTTAAACTGAAATCGGACGGGGAACACAGAGCCAAACCCCCAACCTGCTCATTTACCAGGGTAGTCACCTATAATTGAGAGATTGCATTATATCACAAATAGTGACTTTGGCAGGGGGGAACTGTTTTATACAGACCCTGTCAAATCTACACCGCCAGATTGAACTAGTTGGAGGCCCTCTCTAGGATCGCCAAAGAAGTTCGACAGTTGAAAGATACTTACTGTCTAGCCTGTTGCCATGTTGGAGGGTATACCCACTCAATAGTAAGTTTCTGTGTGGCTAATGGATCACAATTCTCTTTCATTTAAATTTCGGCAAATATCTCATGCCAGCGTTGATCTGCAAATTTCATTTAGTATGCTTCTTTCCTTCTTCTGGATGTAGGCGATGCACGCTTTGATGGTTGATGACATCTATTCAAGTGAAGTAAGCAACAACTCCTTGTTGGGTCATGGAACTAACATAACTTCCCGTGGGAAATCTTGAGCTAATTGTCTTCTAGACTTGCTGATGGTTGCTCATCTACCTCATAACATGGATGTTAACCCAATGTATTGCTGTTTGTCCTTCATCCAACACCATCTAGCGTCATACATAAGCGCCCAAGCTGACCCCACATACGCACAGGCCAAAATAGTTATTTTTTCCAGGCGCTTAAATTTCTTCAGGCTCGGAGGGTTATTTTTAGAATCTTTTGGGTGGGAGGGCGGTTGGTGACTTCTACGGCACCTTTGGAAGACCTATTCTTCTTCTTTTCTAAGTCAAGACAATGTATGAATTGGATGTGCATTGTACTGTGGTTGGTGGAACTAGTTATCCCTGTGGGCGCCAATGATTCCCTGTAAATACTGGACGAGGTTGATTGGACACTCACAAGGGGAGTGTGCATATTCTGAAATTGGTTGGCTTGGTTTGTTTGCATGGCCAAAACAGCAGTTTTTCATGGATTAGCTCGATGCGCTATGGAAGATGTTGTGCATTCGAGACCTCCTCTTTGTTTCAATAAACTGTGACAAGAATAATATGCGATTTTGACAGTCAGGAGAGCTTCAAACCGCAGACGTAAATTTGTCGCAACTCAATCTACTGAAAATCTGGAATAGAATTTCCGGTGTAAAAAATGACTAGAGGATTTCTGCGGCATGAACAGCTGCAAGACAGTTTCAAATCGAGAACACCGAAACTTTACTAGTACTACTGCCTTGGAGAGGTCCCGAAGCCCCGGAATCCCTGTGGCACTGGTTGCAAGTTTATATTTTCCTCATCGGATATTAGTGGTCAGCCTTTTCTCGTATTTCTGCAAAATATGAGTTGAGATGGTAAACTTCCCGTGTCTGTGGCGCCTGCAAATTTGAATATGAGTTACTTCTGAGTGAAGAAGAAAAATGAAACATCATAGGAACATCCATATGAGCCAGGCAACGAATTTATTTTGGCGGTTTAATATCTGCCGCAAGATACCAATTTTTTAGCGTTCGGTTTATTCAACAGCATCTTGGACAGCCCTTGAAATGAAGACCTAACAGATGCTTAGTTGAATGGTATACAGAAAATTAGGAATTTCCCAAAGACCTTCTTATTTTTAGATTGATATTTCGTTGTATGGATTATCCAATCGTTTTCAAGGTGAATTACGCAGTAGATAAGAGGCTGATATGCGTTTGTTAGGCGAGTTTAGCGCGCGTTAGAATTAGCCGCGGGAGAAACTACTATCATCTGTGCAACGCGACATGTGAATGACACCATAGGACTGAGTCAAGGTCCTTTCAATGGGAAATTAAATCTACTGGCGTGGAGCTGGATAAGTCCATAGGCTTTTAAAGGTCTATATATCTGACCTATTTGAGACACGTTACAGGAAGCAATTCAGGGGAAGGCCAGAATCAACCAGATTTCGGAAATATTCAAAAGACTTGAGGAAGAAGGGTTTCCTATTTTGATACTGTCAAGACTCTAGTCCCAAGATAGAGCCTGGAATTCCCTGGTGGGTCCCAGCAACGTTGGCGCTGATAGACCTGTTCGCGATGCCGTATCCTGAAGAAGTCCGGGTCCATGGATGTTTGAGCCCCTTGTCACATGAAACAACCATCCCACATCAGGTCTAACTCAGCATCGCCCCGAGTCTCATCACCGTCTCCGCCAGTATCCACGGCTAACACCAGGGCGTCGTTGACAACGTACTGCTAGGCAGCACTTCACTCTTTCTACGCAGAGGGGCATTACAATTCCTTTCCCATAGCAAGAAATAACAAAGTGCAGAACATCTTCCATGACGAGACTTGGCCCACCTATCAGAAGCAATTGTGCTCCTGGACCTGACGGCGTGGGATTTTTTCTGGCGCCTACGAGAAACTGAACCATTCTCATCCTTCCACACAGGACTGCACTGATTGATGCCCACGGCAGCCCTAGTGCAAGTGAAAAGAGCATGCACTATTTTTACAACACAGCGGCTTCGGTACGCTTAACCAATGTGGTTGATACCCGTTCTGAATTTGCCATTCGAGAGCAGATTTTACACTTTCTCCAGAAAATGATGAGACACACTTACCTTCATGAAAGTTGGGCGTCAAACCCTTAAGCCCCCTGGTTTGGCTTCATACCCTGGCCCTTACTGCTCTTGCAGATACTAACCTCGATTGTTGGTTAGATAGGCACTCCAAAGCAATGCTAACCTGCTTTGGGAGAGTTCGCTGGCCACCTCTGGGCAAATTGGGTAACAGAGGATGTTTTCAGTCTTGCCGGCTAGCTCTTAAGTGCATTTCCGGCCATTCCTCCTGCGGGAACAATATGGTCTTGAACCAACCGGTCCCGGGATCAATATCCTCTATGATGCCCGGCCCTCCTGTGCATTTCTGTTCTCGCTCCGTTGTCCTTCCTGCTGGTCTTGCCTCTGGTTTCCCACCGTGTATGAACTCTAGTCGCTCTCTTGATCACTCATTTGATTCATGATTCTTGCTATATTTCAAGATTACAAACCTTAATCTTTGGGAACATTTATTTTGTCCGCTATTGCCCAGCGCTGGACTCCACTCCTTGTCCTAAGTTGCTGGTAACGGCTAAAGACGATTTTTGTTTAAATACAATTCGAACATTCGTTGCGGAACGAGCTCATTCATGAAGCCACACTCCTTTACTCAGTTGATTGAGAATCTAAATTCGAGATTTCCGCATAGTCTTTTCTGCTCTGCTTTCAGGTCCCACGAAAGGATTGAGCAGGCTATCTTTAGCAGGGCAAACCGATTTTACCCCTCCCTTGGGCACTGGAAGCTAGTGTATCGTGTAGTATCGGCCATAGGAATTAACGAGATTCGCAAAACGCAAAGACTCGCATGCTGTGTTGACCACCCAAAAAGACCAACCAATATGACGCGCAATGATATAGATTATGGTCAGGTCGGACAAGGGTATGTTGAATTGGACATAAAATGAATCTTTCCCTTAAGTGGCAGTGATGCTGATATTTTCATTCATTAGAAACATGTTGCCATCAACCCTGGGAAATGGCATGCAAATGAACAATCTTGGCTTTGGGAAAGTATCAGAGGACGGAAATATGGCAGCCAGAAATGGGGGAAGCACCACGCTAGAGCCATATGGGCTCAGGGCCTGGACTACAGAGATCCAGCCCAATCCATCGACGGCTGCTACGTCCAAGTCGATAAATGAAAGTTATTATTCGCTGCCCTACACTCTCCATTCGGATAAAGTACCAGCTTGGAGCATACACGGGATCCAAATGCCAGCACATTACTTTATGGGCCCTGAGTTTGGAACGCCAAATGGGCTCTTGGAAATCACCGCTGTGGACGATCGTATGTGTGGCCTGGCTATTTGGTTCCTTATTTACTTCTAACATTTATTCAGGTTTCGATGACCAGAATTTAGTAGAGGGGCTGTCTACTTTTTCAGGGCTTGATCACGATTTAGTTTTGTTCCCGAGCGAGCTTTCCCATGGCCAAAAGGTCACGGTCGGGAGTGGTAGAAGGTTTAACCTGCTTCCAGATCACCCAGTCACTTACACTCGACACAAAACATTGTTACTCGCCCTCTATCCGATTCGTATTTCTCCCGGTCAAGCAACACAGGATCTTTCGACTTTGTCGATCTTTCTGCGTTTTCCGAAGTCCCATCGTTCGCCTCTGCTATGAGTTCTGACTACACTCCCATAAGTTCATTCAACCTCTCTTCTACGCCGCTTTCCCCTATGCCATCCCCAAGACATTCACAGACAGGCCTCGTTCGTGGAGGAAATCGGGCAGGAACATCGCAATCCCCTCGTGCAAGCGTTCAAGCATCTCCACATAGTTTTGACGGCGTCCGTAAACGGTGGTCAACAGGCTCCTATGGACCACGTCCTAATCGTGCTGCCTCTCCATTCTTAACACAAACTCATTCCAGTAGATCTCGTCTTCCATCTCCTTTAATGAGGCAAAAACGCAGTATTCCTTCGACCAATTCCGCACGACAACATGCAGGGAGAATCCCAGTACACTTTCTACATAACAACGTTCTACTACCTTCGAATTTTGAGGCGAACGTCCGTTTCAGAAATGCTGATCCACTAGCATCTCAAGGTCTGTTCAGAACCCTACAGAGTGATACCGAGTCTCACCATCATTGCTTTGACCACTATTCCGAGTTTCCTGGCCCACCGGACCTACTAGGACCGCTGAAGGAAGAACGAGAACTTCCACCTCCGGAGGATATGATGCCAAATGATCCGAGTATGACCCCACATGAACAAGAGCTTCGATTCGAGAACGACTTATATACACCAAAGTGGGTTCGAGGGCACGGGAATAAGCGTGAGGGTTGGTGTGGGATTTGCAAACCCGGCCGTTGGCTTGTGCTCAAGAACTCTGCCTTTTGGTATGACAAAAGTTTTTCGCACGGAATCAGTGCGCCAACAGGCAAAGCGTTTGCGACCCCAAAAGAAATGAGGCGAACAGACGGAAATACAAATATATGGGAAGGTCTCTGTGGGAACTGTGACGAGTGGATAGCTTTGGTCAGCAGCAAAAAGAAGGGTACCACCTGGTTCAGACATGCATACAAGGCACGTGCTGGATTCTAACTCCCATGTTAAAGCCCAACCGCTCCCTCGGAAGAATGCTATTACTAACCGCGTTGATCACCAGTGCCATAACCACCCAAAGAATGAAACCCTCAAGCGCCGTAGAGAGAACACTCCCGGGGGCTGTAATCCTCCGACTGCGACTTCCCGAACAACAATGCGGAAACTAGAGTCTCCAACTTCATCAGGGCCTTCTGCAACACCGCCACTTCCGGGGGATGGGATAATTCCGGAACCAAAGAGTCTTTCGCCATTACATACAGTAGCAACGGCGATTTGACGGGCTTCGTTTCCTTTCCCATTTCTTTCCTCTCTCTCTCCTTTTTTTTTTTTTTTTTTTTTTTTTTTTTTTTTTTTTGGTTTACACCACTCTTTATGACTACGACATCTCACGACCATCTCTGGCTCCTTATCAATTCTACCTTCTAGCCGTTTTGCGTTTTTTCCCTTTTGCGCGCTGTACCATTTCCTTGCTTCTATTCATTCCGCATTTCCTAAAAACATATGTCGTTTAACCCAGGAGATGTTTCATGTCTGGATGGGATGATATGCGACTTCGCCCTTATTCCCCATCGCCGAACAGTCACCTCTTGGCTTTTGATGTGATTACCCAAGCCCATGTCATCTTCTTGGCCGAACTATATGATATGTTTGACATGAGACTTAGTTACTTTGAGTTACTTCACAGCAAGGCCTGAGAGAGCAGTTCGTCGAAAAGAGGGTGGGATAAGGGTTGAATCTTCCCGGTAAGACATCTACGCAAGGATGGATTTAGGATGCGGATGAAACGGGCTGCAATTTCCCTGTCATACTTTTTTTTATTTATTCACTTATATGGTGTTTTTTTATCGATGTTTGTCTGGGCGGTCGAATCATATCTTCTTTGTTCGTGTAGCAGAGGGGCAATTGGTCTACGAATCTCAAAAGGTGTTAAGCAGGGTATTAAAAGGGCACACTTCTTATGATAATGAAGAATATTAAATGAAAAAAACCGTTTCAAGTCCTCATTCATATTTATTACCTTATACAAAAGTCAGAAGTCGGAAATTGAGTTAACTAACGATATTTTGCTTCACGCCGTGGGGGAGCGCTAAATAAGCAATGTTCACCCTTAAGGGGGTTCAACGATTGGGTTGTTTATACCACCTGGAAGTGCGTGGAGCTTCATTCGCTGGAGAGCTCGAGTCCAATGGGCATTCAATTCGATTTATTTCTTTTTCCACTTCCCCTCTCTGTTGCTGGCTATCTTCCAGGAATCAAATTCAGGTGAAGGTTGCCCAGGTGGGAAAAAAGGGATTTCATCACCTTTATCTTGGGGATCCCTTTTCTTGTCGACTTAATTAACTCTTTCGTTGAATTTGAAGAGGAGGAGAGAAAAGATATTTATTTCTCTCCGAGAGCCCTTGTTCCCACCTCCCGCAATTTCTGTACCAACTTCTGCATTCTTGACTGGTTTTATTCTGTTTTTATGTATATCGATTCTACCTCTCAACCTAAGCTGTTCTCCGTGTCCGACTCTATTCTGCTCCACGATCCCTCCTCGGACGGGCCCTGTGTTGTCTGTCTTGAGCTCCTTAGCTGGCTTGTTAGGGTGGTCTTGTTTTGGTTAAATATTCCCGTGGCTGGGGAAATTCTGTTGCTGTTGATGTGGATGTGAACAAGTGTTTAGCTCAACACGATCAACTTCCATCGGCTTCTAAAGAAATAAATACTAGGGCTGGGGAGGGATTGATGCTGCGACCTCCCGCAGTCCGTCCTGTCTGTCCGTCAGCCAGCAATTATTTAGTTTTATTTAATCGTTGCTGTTGTTGTTGTTGACCTGTCATCCTCAACATTTTTTTTTTATCTCCCTTTTTGCTGTCTTCAATCCAGTCAAGTTTTTCGACTGTTTGGCGCTGTAATAATTATTGTATTTAGGTGGTTGTTTCGCTGGGCTTCTTTTGCTTTCCTTTTTTTTCCTTTTTTCCTTTTTTTTTTTTTTTTTTGGACCTTGCTCCCGCATCCCTAGTCGTCTTTTTATTTTTAGTTGGGTCTGACCTCGCTCGTACCGGACTCATGGTTCTCACAAAACTTTTCTCCTCCTCCAAAAAATCCCCCGACAAGAAAAAGCACCACAAGCCTTCCGCCAGCAACGGGTCAGACCTGTCCGACCTTCAGCTTCACGATTCTCAACATCCGCCCGCTTTGGTCCGTGCTGCCTCCTCCGACCGACACACCGATTCTTCCTTGGACGTTGCCTCCAAACACCACCAGTCCTCACAACGTCTCTCCACATTCAGCACCGCCAACAACAACAGTAACCATAGCAAAAACAAGTCA